AAAGCGATCGCCACTTGATCCTTTGACCTGTGAATTCACCTCAAGAGCTTTAAAAGCCTGCTCTGCTGCTGGAAACGCTACTGGATACTCTTGTGTAGGTATTACAGAGACTCATTTATTGAGTGAGAAACGATGGGTTATTTTCTCATCTAGTGTTGGTGGTATTTTATTTCAGTTTCTCTCCAGACTCGCTGAAAGATCAGCATCACAGAATGGCTGCAATCAGATAAAGCCGAACGAGGAGTCGGCAAGGTGAGCCTGCAGCCCGGAAGGCCAACCAGACCCTGCGCTGCATCAAAAGAAACACGGCCAGCAGGGCGACAGAGGTGATTCTGCCCCTCTGCTCTGCTCTGGTGAGACCTCACCTGCAGTTCTGTGTCCAGCTCTGGAGACCTCAACGTAAGAAGGATGTGGACCTGTTGGAGTGGATCCAGAGGATGGCCACAAAAATTATCAGAGGGCTTCTGCTATGAGGATAGGCTGAAAGCTGGGGTTGGTCAGCCTGGAGAGAAGGCTCTGGGGAGATCTTATGGTGGCCTTTCAGTACTTAAAGTGAGCCTACAAGAAAGGTGGTGACAATCGTTTTAGCGGGGCCTGTTGCCACAGGACAAGGGGCAATGGTTTTAAATCAAAAGAGGGTAGATTTAGGTGAGATACCCGGAAGGAAGGACTTTCTCACTCTCTACAACTCCCTGAAGGTAGTGTGTAGTCAGATGGGGGTCGGGCTCTTCTCCCGGGCACCCAGGGACAGGACGAGAGGGCACGGCCTGAAACTGCGTCAGGGGAGGTTCAGGTTGGGTCTCAGGCAGCCCTTCCTCACGGAGAGGGTGCTCAGGCACTGGGATGCACTGCCCAGGGAAGTGGTGGAGTCACCGTCCCTGGAGGGGGTTAAGGAGAGGCTGGATGTGGCACTTTGTGCCCTGGTCTAGTTGTTGCGATGCTGTTGAGTCACAGGCTGGACTTGATGATCTCAGAGAGCTTTTCCAGCCTCAACAATTCCGTGATTCTGTGAAATTTTTTACAATGAGAGTGGTGAAACACTAGAACAGGTTGCCCAGAGAGGTGGAAGAAGCCCCTTCCCTGAAAACATTGACAGGCAGCTTGGTCAGGACGGTGAGCAATCTGATCTAGTGAGAGATGTCCCTGCTCACAGCAAGGGGGCTGCACTAGATGATCTTCAAAGGTCCCTTCCAGCCCAAACCATTCCATGATTCTGTGAAAACCACAGTCAGTACGGCCACTTGAGCACATACGTTGTTCAGTATAACATCACAGCACAATTTTGCCATTTCACACCAAATGGTTTTCGTTACCTTCTTTTCACTGTTTCCGACAACTCAAAACTCTGTAAGGTCACCACTATTCCTGGTAACTTTTTGCTTTCGTCCATGTCAATGCAATAAACGCTGGTTTTGTCTCAAAGCTGCTTCAAACCTTCTCCTAATATGAGAACACAAAAGTCTGAAAGCTTCAGTTGCACAGTTAGAAACCGTTTGTGACTGAATGCTACTGAACTCTTTCTGCTAGTTTCACAATAATGTGAAGCAGTATTTCACAATAATGGAGCCATTGAAAAATTGGACCACGACAGGAAAGAAGGTTACTTACAGACTAACATTTTTAAGCACTTCAGTGACTGTGATTTAACAGTATCACACAAACAGTATTTAATGCCTTGGCAGGTAACAGAGGCAATCAGAACATCACAATGGCTATAATTCTATGGATTAGCTCTTTAATATTTGAAGAAATTTAAAATACCTGTACTTGGTCTCAGTCACTACCCATTAAAAACTAAATTAAAGATTAAAAATACAACATCTGTTCTCTGCTGATCTTGTTTTCCTCAAGTCATTTCGTCCCCTGCAGAACAACCTACAGCAAGGTAGAGCGAAGAAAGGGAGCATTTTATATCTGACATGTCATTTACACTGGAAGACAAACAACTTTCTGCTTCCTTATAAAACCTGCTAAAATACTGAAAAATGAAGTGGGGAAACAAGCAGCTTCCTGACTTCAATCTCCCCCTGATGAAAAGCCCCAAATCAACATTTTAAGATACAAACCAATTAATTCCCAGGGTTCGTTGTGCTGGCTGAGCTTTTCCTTCCCTTTGAAAACAGCAAATAACATTCACAAAGAAGTCCGAGGAGACATCCCACAGCAGCTAGTCCCTGGGAAGCAGCAGTCAGCCAGCCCACCTAACTCTCTCCGGAGCACAGTCAAACAGCTCCTTGAGAAACTACTACTTGCATGGAACAAGACAGAAAAGCCAGTCTGACAGCAGAAAAGTGGTTTCTGCAGCCAGAAATCTAGAAATTTCCTTCACACACACAAAAAAATTGTTTGGTGAGCCCTCTTACGATAACAGAAGAAAAAAAGTCAATGTCTGCTGCCAAGGAGATCTTGAGCATCACCCTGCCGTCAAGACGCGACGTATTCTGTAAAAGATTTTC